ACAACGGTGCCCAAGTCATCAAAGGATCGCCCACCTTGAGCAGCAAAGTTGTCGAGACCTTGAAGAGATTTACGATGGGTTGCACTACATTCGTCTAGTACTCTTAACATTGTGCTCTTACTGAAAGATTGAAAATTGTTTTCTTTGCAGTACTGAGAGTATTGGTTCACAATTCTTTGAGGTATCATGGTACGGATGATGTTCGGTACTTTAATTGTTTTACCTGAGGACATCTTCAATTCTTTTTCGCCAAACGGCAAGTCTTGCACTAAATGGGGGCTTGTTATAAAGCTCAGAAAATGATCAAGCTGTTGCTGACATATACGAAGACGAGGCGATGTCTTTAACGGAACTGGAACGCACCTTCCATACTGAAGTCGATGAAGATTAGCCATAGTAAAACGGTAGTGTGTGAGACCAGGAATATATTCTGAAATGACATTAAAATTAGCCACATCGGACATGGTAGATAAGACTTGGCGCCGAGTATCCCAGCTATCTGCGGTTTTATACACTTCCGCTAAGGCTTCTAAATAAGCTTTTTCTGCTGGCTGATGGCTTAATCCAAATGCTTTGTTCATCCTTCCGGAAGTTTGAAGCCCTTTCCAAAGATGTGGGGCATTAGTGGATGAAATATCATTTAACACTGACGAGACAATTTCACATGTTTTTTGGATGTATCGTTCTTGTGTGCGCTCTGATATCTGGTCCCAATCTGACATTGGTCTTTTCAAAGGATGAATATTACAGGCTTCCAAATATTCGTTTAGCTTTTTTCTTCTAGCAACCAATGAAGAAGAAACATCGGTGACGTCACAAGATGATGATGATGTAGTACTTGCAGTGTCTGGAGAGAAGATGCTCCACCTGGTCTCGTTAAGTACAAGTTTATCCATTTCTTCAACAAGTTCATCTGACGTACTAGTATTACTGTCTTCCTAATAAAGAATAGAAGCTGTTAAAATGTAGTGCATGGATCATGGCTCGTGATAAAGTTAAAATTGCTTCTTATTACCGGCTGTTCTGCGTTAATCTGCGGCAGAGATGTTGATAATTCTAAGCAGTTAGCTACTTGATTCGTCGTCAGTTGACACTAAATTACTAGTTCTCCATTCTGTTGCCAGATGAGCTAAATGTTCTTTACAGCTCCTGCATATCCCTAAAACAAGCAAAAAGTTAACGTATACATTATACTGTATATCCTGTAAAATAAAGGCATTGCTGCTAAAAGTTTAGTATAAGTAAATTCTTCATTCTACAAAAAACGTGGAAATTCAGTTAAAAACAAAACCTGCACTACTTGTGCATGCATAGTAAATATCCTCATACTTCTCTCACGTTTCCTGCCGACCTTATACGCAGGAAATAGATGTATTGAATAAATTAACCTCGTACCTGTTCCCACAGGAATAAGTATCTTGGTCTTGTTAAAAATAAAAGATGATAATAAAGTTGTCAGTCCACATTGAGCTTTGACAGATAAAGATTTATGTGCTGCAAGGTAATTTCGAATTGAGCATCTGGTCTTGTTGCACCTCCAGCGAATGCCATACAAATCTCGATGTAAAGGACACACTGTCATCTTCATGTATGACTCGTCGATTTCAAAAATTCCTAAAGAATACCGATACGTTTTAGTTACAATCTTTAAAATTTGCAAACAGTAAGTCAACAAAGTCAAAGAATGAAAAATAAACATTAAATTCGGTGACGTTACCTGCACGAGCAAGAAGTAACATTGATTCACTTCCAGACAGGCCACAATCGTTACTAATTTTATATTGTGAGCAATGGTTTAAAATGTCCTTATTACAATCCTTGATTGTTACGTATTCTACAATAGAAGGATTGTACGAACTAGGTCCACACTGACCGCCAACTAGTGTTGCATAGTAACACGATGCCATCCTACAGTTTCCTTCTTGTTTGCATGTTATATATTACTGAATATTTCTTTAAGTCCAAAAGTATGTCATAATGTAATTGTTTACAAAGTTAAAGATTAAAATGTCTGGTATGCTATAATCGTTCGTTCACTCAGATTGCCGAAAGCAACTTCTAAATTTTAAAATTTTAAGCTTTCCCCTTTTTCTGCTTTTGTTAATTTCGTTTGCATCAACAAAGTTATTCTGGGCCGGATTGATTATTGTGCACGATATTTAACTGGCACATCCGTTTATATTTTTTATATATTTGTATACCTTGCACGCATATAGGGACAATTAATGTCTCGTTTGTGCTTATATTTCGCTTGATTTCTAGTTTTACTGTCATTTATACAAGTCTTTGCTTGTCGTTTGTGATTAATTGTTTTTTATTAAAGTATTTAATATATGAATTGTTATTTATTGTATAGAATATACGCTCAAGGAATTTACTAAATAATAACAGTGTTATATAGTGACGCATTTGTGTCATAATTGATTGATCTTTGATAAAACACCTCTTTAATTTGATTTAAAAACATTTTCATCACTTAAAACAATAATGTACTATTTTTAACTTTCTCCAACAGTAATATTGTTGTTGTATTCCTTAGTTTTATTTCTGATAAAACACGACTACAAGTGCTTTAAATGGCTTAAAGAAACGACTCATCTTATATGAGTTCATTGGCGAAGTAATTTTTAAAATAAACTTTGTCTAAACCGAGAAAATCAAAGCTAAAGTTTATGTAAATTAACATGATTTTTTATCACATATAAAGATACGACACGCTTAAGATTTTTCTTTGTGTTTTCTTCCTTTAAATATTTTATCAAGACCTGATGATATAGAGAGTCGCTATATATTATGAAAACGTTGCATAAATTTCACTCTCGCACTAGTAAATTACGATCTGCCAATGAACATCTTCTGTCTGTTTGATCGATCTGTGACTGATTATATTTACACGTGCACTGTCACGCACTAATTTGGACATGCATGTACCGTGTAAAAATGTATTCCGAAAATTTATTGTTCAAACTCCTGCCCGGACTTTCTAAAAACTCCACGCTTCTCAAAATATTAATTATAGAATTTACTGTTAGAGTATATATCTATACGTTTACATGCACCTGTATGCAGGCATCCCTGTACGTCTAGTTATCTTCAAGCAACGACTCTGGCATTTTTCTTGTTCAAAACAGTTGAAAACTTGATGGGAAAAACTATTGTAAGTCTCACCTTCCCAAGATTCCGTAGCATAACCACCGAAGATGTATTTACCAACTTTTATTATGGTCACGGTTGGTTTCTTGTTATCACATTTTAAATGGAAGGTAGTGGCTGCCCATCCATGTATAGTTGCACGCCAACACAGCTTCCAATTACTGCTTGGCTTTCCGGTCCATGAAGTTAATCTTGACAGAAAGTTAGCTGGTTCTCCAGACAATATGTCGGAGTCAGAAAGTGTCGGAACTAAATGAGAATAAGAAACATGATAAAATTCTAACGGACAACACATCTTTTAATCTATTATATTTGTACATAAGGCATTGAAAAATGTTGATATTTTATATATAGCCTAATGATTAGAATAATGTATATGAAAAAAATACTCAAGTTAAAAATTAAGTGCGAAGTTCGTCTAAAAAAGTTCAAGTTCGTCTAAAAAAGCAACCTAATACTGCAAGAGCCTAAACAAAAATTATCGCAAATTTATTTCGCATGTGCTTTAAGCATGCAAGTGACCGTGAATTTGCTTCTGCATAATTTTTTCACGTAGCTATATATATTAATAAGTAATAACATGCATGGTTTGTCATGTGATTTAGAAAAACATACGCTCGTGAGTTTCCATTCTTCGGACTCATGCAATTTTGATCTTCTTTCAAAAATCTCACTCGTGCAAGTTTTTTCCAAATTGCACTCAAAATCGTACCCTTATATATCTATCTATGGATAAAGAAACCAATGCTAATCTACGATTGCTAATTTTTATACAGTGGACAGTTGCAGCATGCACCCGAGCGAACACGCTAAACACTTTCATTTTCAATTAGCATGGCTCGAGATGAGTTCTTGTTGCAGCAGGCAACTTTTGATTCTTTTTCTATTTTATCTTTAATTTCGGCATCAAGCTTTTTCTTTAACATTTAACTCACCAATTTGGCAGAGATCTCCACTGTATCCCTTTGGGCATGCACACCTGTAAGGATCAGAACCAGGTCCATCATTGAGATAAATAATCGTCTTTCCCTCATTTTTACAATTCTTCATTTTATGACATGGAACCTGTGAAGCGAATGTGTTAGAATTCAGCTCACCGTAAAGTAAGAGAAACTCTAGCCTGCTCACAGACGTTGTAGTTCTTACGCCAAGCGACGAAATACTACCGTCTGCTTACCCGAGCGCCAAACTGAATTCCGCCCCGTCGACCAATCAGAATTTACCTTTCAAATTCTGGAAAGTGACGTCAGTTGATTTAGGAGCGGAATAAATATAAATATATATTTTGAAAGCAGTCGTCGGTTGAATTTTGGTCAAAATTGAATTTAAATATATACTTATACTTGTCCAAGTAATAAAATGCACCATTGATGGCATGCCGATCAGATTTGGATATTAAAGATGTTCGGTTATATTTAAAACGCGGAAAGGATTGGCATATTTAATATGCTGTATGAATCTAGACCAGACAGCATCAAATGCCGAATATATTTCGCTGATATTTGAACTTTTGTTGGATGTTTATCTTTATAAGACAACAGAACTCGAAAGACAGAAACTATAATACTGTGGCTTAGAAAGCGAAATATTAGCTTCAAAGTAAACTAATTTGCTGTTTGAGCAACCATTTCTGAATGTAAACTGTAAACACAACAGAAACCCGAGAAACTTGTATTACCCTGTAAAATTGCGCCGTGATGAATTTTTCAATTCGCCCAAACTTCGAAACGTTTATACTCTAACTTGGCTATACTTTTCTAGGCTACATGACAATGAGAGTTTAATCTTTTAGAAGTTTTCGTCGAAGTCATGGCATATAGGAAGTATCAAGAGCAACATTTGGACATATCCTGCAGATATACTCGAGTTTCCCGATTGATTGTCTGTCATTGACATTGTTAACAAAAATTTAAATTTCGCCTACTGCATTGCTTTAGCACTTTATATACTGTACACCGATTGTTTGCTGAACATGATATTATTCTACGTAAACATCGTGAAGTTCAACGCTATAGTTTCGAAAATATATACACGCAAGTAAACAAATTTCAAGTTTCAACCCAAACAATATATTCCAATGCATGTCAAGGGCTTTCCCCAGTAGCTAATCTCTCAATAAGGCGACTTCCAATTGGCTCTAACTTTTTTTAACACTGCCAGATGATTGGCTCCTAAAACAAAGGGAAATGAATTGGCAGCTCGGGTAAGCAGACGGTAGTATTTCGTCGCTTGGCGTAAGAACTACAACGTCTGTGAGCAGGCTAGAGAAACTCAGCCTGCATTCAAATTTAATTATTTAAGCTTAAATAACAGAATAACATCACAAGTTAACTATAATAATTGGTCCAGTATTTCTAAATGAGATCAAGTTTTAAAGTGGCCATGCATGGCTCGATACAGTTTTCAAAAATTCAGGTGTTCAACACTTTCATATGTTCAAACTACGCAATTTTAGGATTTATTCAGCAAATATGGGTTCTTTATATATTTTGATATCTCTACTTTCAAATTATATTCGTTTTAGTTACAGATAGTTCGTTGCTATGACGACATACGTGTACGAAATTCACTCCAAAATGGCCAATCGTCTCGTTTTGTTCGAAAAGAAGCATGGTGACCCCCGATCTTTTTCTTGCGTTTTTTTTACTTGGACGAAAAGCTAACAATTAGCAAAATATAAAAAAATTCTGTAATGCCATTTTTTTGGAAAATGTCATATTCTTCGGCAAAATGTTTTTGGCATTACAGAATTTTTTTTATTTTTTGTATAATGAAAGTTTTTAGTTGTGCAATACAGCATGCAAAATTTGAACATAGGTCACGAGACAAGATAAAGAGATATAACGCATTGTTTTTCTAAAATGGAAAATTCTAATGACGTCAGCAATTGACATAAAAAACTATGGAATATGCGCAATGACGTGAGATGGCGCGAGAAACGGCTCATGTCAGGTCATTTTGGAAGTTCGTTCATTTGCTAATCAATTTCCGCGACCTGCACGTAAAAATGGTCACCCGTTTTTGAGTTCGCGATTCTTGAGCAGGATTTTTGTGATAACTATATCGAGCCACCTTAATTGATAATATATACTGCAGTGGATGTCCTTAAAATATAACTAACATTTTTCATTAAAAATGTTTTCAGAACTATACGGTATATATATATATATATATATATATATATATATATATATATATATATATATATATATATATATATATATATATATATATATATATATATATATATATATAGGGTAAAATAATACAATTAGAGTATCAAAAGTATATAATATATATTTATATGGTTGATATTATTTAGCATAAATTAGCATAAAGTACCGTAATACAGTTAATATATACAGTACATCGGACACGTGACTATACGTTCGTTTAACGTTATTTTAGATCCGCCATTATCGGTGTAGTTGTTGTTTTCAAGCGGGAAAACCATATTTTGTGAACCTTTTAGTTTCTTTTTCAACAATAAATTACATAATCTAACAGGTTATGGGCCCAGGATCGTGGTAATGGATAGCCAAACGATAAAATGGCTAGTTTTTAACGGAAAAGCTGAAAACTACCCAGCATGGAGCACAAAGTTCACCATCGTAAAGTTTATGAGCAAGAAATCCCAAGCTTTTGAAAAATTTAAAGAGTATGTACTGTAGCTGAATTTGGAACACCTCAAAGACTGAGAACTGACAATGGAGCTGAATACACATCGAAGCAATTCAAGGATTACTGCAGAGACTCAAAAATAAAGCAAGAATTTACTGTTCCAGAAACCCCACAACAGAACGGAGTTGCAGAACGCTTCAATCGAACTGTAGTTGAAATGGGACGGTCTCTGTTAATCCAAGCCAAGTTACCAAAGTGCTACTGGGTAAGAGCCTTATCCAGAGCAGCTCGCATACGAAATCTTACAGTAACTGCCAATAGCAACCAAGGAAAGAGTCCTTTTGAACTCTTTACCGGAAAAACACCAAGGCGCAACCACCTACGAGTTTTTGGCTGCACGGCATATGTTATGAAAAGAAAGATCAACATGAAGAAGCTAGATTCGAGATCGGTGAAAGCCAAATTTATCGGTTATGATGACAAAAGCACAGCCTACATCTTGCAAGAATTCGACTCGAAAAAGGTCATCAAAGCACGTAATGTCATCTTCAAAGAGAACGAAATCCAGTCATTCTCAGCCAGAGAAACGATGAGTCCGGACAACCCAAACCTTGTGAGTCCCAACATGGATTTTGAAGATGATCGCCCGAATGACGAAGCCACAAAGATACCGGTCCAAGCTAGAGTTGGGGAAAATGATAAGACACCTGTTGTTCAAAATCCACGTCAAGTCGAAGAAAACCCCGAGGAAGACGAAGTCGCACTCCCCAGAGAAAGCAGAAATCGTCGCCACCCGGAACGATATGGATTACCCTACACGTTTAACATAACAAAAGAAGAAAACATACAAGAACCCAAGTCGTATAATGAAGCAATTCGTTAACCGCATGCAGAAAACTGGAGAAAAGCTATGCAAGCAGAGTACGAGTCACTAATGGACAATAATACCTGGACATTAGTCGATGAACCAGAAGATCAACAAGTCTTACCTGGAAAATGGGTGTATAAAGTAAAGTATCGAGCAAGCGGCCAAGTCGATAAGCTCAAAGCGAGATACGTAGCAAAGGGTTATGCTCAAATCGAAGGCCTAGATTTCTTTGACACATACGCTCCAACATGCAAGCCAGAAACTTTTAGAATTCTATTAGCAACTGCAGCACGAAAGGACTTATATCTTGGTCAGATGGACGTGAAATCAGCCTACCTTCATCCAAAATAGAAATAAAGAAAAAAAAAGAAAAAGAAAAAAACTGCGATACATTTAAAGATTATTGCAGAACCTCCTCCGAGTACTTCAAAACATTAGTCAAAAACAGAATTAGTGACACGTCGTAAACTCTGTTGACATTGTGTATAGAACTATACTGTATTTTACTGTGTATGTCAATTGTTAAATACTAATAATGTCAATTGTTAAATATTGTAATGTACAACATACTACGTATTGTAATACTTGTTGTGTCGTATTATGTACTCCGTTGTATATATTGTATACTTTGTTATCTTATAATCAAACTCACTTGTAGCATAGAAGAGCCACTATGTGGAAATGCTATTAAATCATTATTATTATTATTATTATTATTATTAATAGAAGATGAAACTTATCTGGAGCAACCAGAGGGGTTTGTCAAAAAATCAAACTCAGGACAAAAGCTTGTGTGCAAATTGAACAAATCAATCTATGTCTAAAACAAGCTGCGAAAAACTGGTATGAAGCTCTGACAAGTCTACTTCTCAAGAAAGGATTCAAACGAAGCTGCAACGACTATTGCCTATTTGTAAGAAAGGAAGAAAATGGAACATTTCCCTATGTGTTAGTCTGGGTAGATGATATAGTAGTGGCTGGAGCGACCGAAGAAGCAATTAACGAAATTAAGTCAATGTCAAATGAAAATTTCAAGATGGACGATCGTGGCGACCTAAACTGGTTCTTAGGAATGCAAATCCTGCGATTGCACGACAAGATTACAGTGGATCAAACGAAGTATATCGAAACTGTTCTCCAAGAATTTAACATGAGTGATTGCAAAGCTGTAGCAACACCCGGAGAAGTAAATCTAAAGCTAGTCAAAAGTAACGAAGGAAAGAAATTAGTAGATCCGAAGCTGTATAGAAGTTTAGTTGGCTCTCTTTTATTCAGTGGCAAACAAACCCGTCCAGATATTCTAAATATTGTTAATCAGCTAGCTGTCACGATTTCTCGATAAACCTGACGAATCACATTGGAAGGCAGCAAAGCGCGTACTGAGATACCTCAAAGGAACTACCGACTTACGATTAACATTCTTGAAGAATTCCAGCTGTGATATTGTTGGCGATTCGGACGCAGATTGGAGTGGGATCTCAACGATCGCAAATCGACAACTGGATACTACTTTAAATTCGAAGGAAATGGAGGTGCCATCAGTTGGGAGGTAAAGAAGCAAGCAACCGTTGTCTTATCAACAGCGGAGGCGGAATATCAAGCCATGGCGGCTGCTGCACAAGAAGCAATCTACTGGTTTCCCAATGGAGAAAGCGACCGATATTGGAGAAGACAACCAATCCTGCATTAAGATGTGTCACAATCCCGTGATGCATAAACGGTCAAAACAAAGCTACACTTCATTCGAGAAAGGGTAGAAAATAAAGAAATAAAGATACATTATGTTTCAACCGAAGAAATGACTGCGGACATTCTGACGAAATCATTACCTCGAGTGAAAGTGGAAAAACACAGAACAGTACTCTTAGGGAATTAAGAACATCAACAACACGTCAGACTCATCATAGTTAAAGACGAGCTGAGTCTGAGTGGGGGTGTTGAGATAAGGACTTTTAGTGTTTAAAGTTAAAACTATATTTATATGGTTGATGTTATTTAGCATAAATTAGCATATAAAGTACCGTAATACAGTTAATATATACAGTACATCGGACACGCGACTATACGTTCGTTGAACGTTATTTTAGATCCGCCATTATCGGTTTAGTTGTTGTTTTCAAGCGGGAAAACCATATTTTGTGAACTTTTTAGTTTCTTTTACAACAATGAATTACATAATCTAACATAATTTTCTCATAAATGTAATCGAGTCCAAAGCCAAATGACGTGTTCAATTTGAACTCGAAACCATTCTAATTCTACAGGTCGATTTTACACTATACACAACATTTGCTTAAAACTGTCGCATACAACCTGCTTACAACTTCAGTTGTACTTAATTGTACTGTGTAAATCAAGCACACAACACGCCTACGTCATCACTCGCATGCTACAGGTTTTGTTATAGTGACGAATGAAAAATCAACAACACCTGTACAACAATAAATTAATGCATTTCAATGATTTCATGACAAAAAAGTCTATAACGTAAACGAGTTTAAACTAAAATAACATACTTAAATGGTTTCAGTGGCTGTTGCCTGTTGTGTATTTTTCCTCTCTTTTATACTCTTTATTTTAACACAAACTTGAAAAATAGTAGTTTCGAAACTTGCGAGTGGCGCCCAAATTTTTGTTTTTTATATACACTAGCCAGTTCGGGCGGACAACGATTTTTAACTTGTTGCCCGGTGGCATACATTGCATTTACGTTTGGTGGCACCCTAGATATATAACAATTACGGTATAGCTAATAGGAAAATTTGTGAAGATCGCAAAATTTTCATGCATTCCTTTCACTTGCTACTTGGGCACAAATAAGTTAATTCCGCGTGTATAAATAAGCTATTTCAGACTGTGGGTATTGCTACCTATAGGCAATGCTTGCTAGGTATTAATAAGCTAATTCAGGCAAGGTTTATTAAGTAGATATTTACTGCAGTTTCGTACCTTTCTTGGAGCAACGGGATGATAAAATATCCAGCCTTTGTCATCAGCGTTGCAATCATGAAAGTTGTGATCCAGCGTGTGTGTTAACTGGCAGTTCGGAGTCTTCTTCTGGTGCTTTTTCTTAAAATTGTATCCAGCACAGAATGGATATTGCAAACACTTCATGGCACAATGATTCTGGAAATCATACGTCGCTTCAGACAAAATATTTTTTATCAAAGGGCAAACATCTACAACAAAAAGAATATTTATCAGGGCAAAGAAGTACGTTTACAGGTAACATAAAATCGTTGCAGAAATGACATGGAAAAATTAAAAAACAATATATAGCACTATAAGCTTACCTCCATACAGCAAGGGAAAAGGAATCGCCACGTTCGTGTATTCTTGTTCCATTGTAACTGCAAGTGGCAACAAGATCAGGAACAGAAATCGCACAGACATGTTCGAAGAAAGCCGCGTTTCATTTTTTTGTTATGAGAGAACACAGACTTGGGTTAACCAATTTTTTGGTTGTTTTCTGGGCGTCGACAGCAAAACTGAACTAAGTGGCACATTTTAGGACGTTATATACATGCGACGCGCTATGACAAGGTGATCCCATGCAGTTATAGGCCATTAAATATGTTCACATTGCAAAACTGACTGTTTATTTGCGTCTTGATTGAATTGTGGCAAAGTAATCGCATTAATAATTAAATTGTTGGTCAGGGTTTCATCTGTTCACGGGCAGAAGGATAGTCTTTCGGAAAACATTTACGCAAATCTAAAATTTTAAACACCATGAATTGCAGTCTCCTTTGCCGGCTGACAGTCTTAGCAAATATAAAATTACAGTTATTCAAAAACGTATGCATAATTACAATACACGCATTAGTCGCAATTTTGTATTCTAATTATGCATGCAAACTGTGTATTCTAATTTCAATTTTGTATTCTAAATTCAATTTTGTAATAATTCTAATTGTGCATGCAAACTTTCCTCCGAATAACTTAACTACGGATCATATCGAAGAGAAATCGTTGTATTCAATCCAATGAATTATTTCCGGCTGTTTTTATTGCTTCCATGACGGGAAAGGAGCTGGGCGAGTAGAAAATTATGGAAAAACGCTAGCATAATTAGACAATGCACTTAATTAATAAAATAGCCTAAAGCCGGTTTTCCACTAGCGATTTTTTTCGCGCGAAGCGAATTTATTTCTTTGTCTTTGGGCAATTTGTTCCAGATGGTTGCAGCTGAGAGCTCTAAAACTAAAACAATAGCAAAATGTCCCTTCGCGCGCGAAAAAATCGCTAGTGGAAAACCGGCTTAAGGCTATTAGTCGTTGTGTAGCGACAAAATACTCAATAGGTCATTATACGTTCATACAAAAATATTAGCTGAATATTTTTAGAAGACAGCATTGATGTGAATAATATATAATTTTTTTTTAATAAAGTTTGGGCCATTACAGGCGAGAAAAAACTTTCCTTATTCACACTAGTAAACTTTTCCTGACATAAAATTATTTGAAGCGCAACAATTATTTTCAAACGCCTGGTGTTTCACGAATGCAGATGTCACTTACGAGCCTCATTTTCATGTTGAAGTTTATCGCATTCATAACAATTTTTTTGACATTGACATCAAGGTGGCTCAACACAGTTTTGAAGAAAATGGACTAAATTTGCGATTTAAGATCTGTAGTTTTTGAAAAGCATTTAAGCAAACGATATCACTTTCTGTTGTTATAAGAGAGAATGCAGACTCAGGGAACCATTGTTTGCATGTTTGTTTTATTGTGAGCGTCGTCGGTAAAATCTAACTTAAGTGGTCAATTTTAGGACGTTATATGCATGCGACGCCCTGTAGCACGGTAATTCCTATGCATGCGGTTATAGGCCATTTAAACATATTTACATTGCAAAAATGTTCATTTGCGTCTTAATTGCATGAATTGTGGCAATTATTGCTTTAATAATTAAATTGTTTGTCAAAGTTTCGCCTGTTCACGGACAGAAGGGTGCGTAGTCTTTTGGAACAAATTTAGCGCAAACCTAAAATTTTAAGAGGGCCTCTCAGTAAAATCCACCCACTGGTTTGGGGAAGGAAAAATAGATTTAGCTCATATTTTCCATATGAACTAGACTTTGGTCAATATTAATGGAGCTCCTTTCAGAACGTTTCAACTTTCTGTTTTATAGGAGTTATAGCCCATGTTGAAATTTGACCTTGCGAGAGTATTTTCAGACCGGAAATGAAGGGGAATTTTACAAGAATTCAAATGATTTTTTAAAAACGTTGTGATGCATTTATCCCCTCCAGTTACTGTTTACATGCAATATTAACACTAATACTCTCGTTTTCATGGAGATTGAACAACTTTTTTTGCTTAATACGATTTTTATATAGCTTTACAAAACTATGTTTTCAAGATGGCGGCGGGAGGCTGAAAATTGGTCATATTTTACTTAAAATAGCTCAAAAGTGGCACCTATCTCAAGTTCAAAAGGCATGTAATTTGAAATTATACCTACTAAAGTTAAGTAATCAGGAATAAAACTCGTCTGCAAACAATTTTCTGAAAAGTTATAAATCTCCAAATTGGGCCTATTTTTAGCTGTTTGTTTACATTC